AGCCTCTATGTAGTTATAATTCCATTTGGGAATGGGTCATCTTTGTTATGTTCATGAGACAAGTTTAGTTCAGAGTCATTTTTTTCTGAGATGTGAAATTAAATAAGCAAGCCAGCAGTCAGAGGTGAGGGAAGACTGATTGCCAAGCCACATGGAAATCTTCAAGGAACCAGGAAACAAAAGCTGAAAGGACAAGGACCTCTCCCCAGAGCTGAGAGAGCATCTTCCGTAGAGCCTGTGCCCTGAATTTGGACTGCTAACCACTTAAAATTTGGAAAGTGTGTTAAACCCATTCATTTGTGCTATTTCTGTTATAGTAGCACTGGATACCTAACACAATTTGGTACTGAGAAGTGAGGGTGCTACTCTAACAAATGTGCATTCAAAAGTGGCTACTGGGTGAAGGGCTAGAAAGAACCCACTGGACAGCACTTAAATGTCTAAGTGCCTTAAAGAGACCATTGGCAGAATTAAGGATATCAAAGGCAGTTCTGGTTAAGGGATCAGAAAGGAGGAGAGCTTACAGAATGTCTGTATCCTCTTAGAGAATACATATGCCACCAGAAAGAAACAGTTAATAGAAATGTGCACATTAAATGTACTACGGGTGAAGCTTCAAAAGAACATGATGAACCTGTGATTGGACGATGTAGAATGTGCTTTATACGTTGTAGCAAAGCACTTGTTTGAATTATGCTCATATTTGGTGGAAAGTAGAACTTGTAAGTCGTCAACTTACTTAACTAAAGATTTCTAAGCAAAATCTTCAAGGGGCCATGTGGTTTCTCCTTGCTGCTTACAATAAAAAAGGATGGAGTTAAAAATAAAACAGAAAAATATTTGAAAAATTCTGTTGCATAAACTGATACATCTCCTACGATTTTCACCAAGGATGTAAGTACATAATCTTTTGTTAAAGAGATAAATAAACCTTGACTGATGCAGGTAACCAGCTATCACAGCACAAAACCCACCAGCTAAAGGGACGAAAGGAAACAGTGAAAGAACAAAAGGAGACCAGCCTCTTAAGAGTTCCACAGGCAGGAAACAAGTCAAAGGAGTTATTACATATATTGTCCTCCAAGAAAAAGACTATCCCTGCTGCAGGTCAGAAATTAGTAGAACTATTGGAAGGAGCACAGAAAAAGTAGGGCCTTCGTGGTTTCAAAAAGTCAGATTTTCACCAACTCAGTTCCAGAGTGTGAGTCTGCCATAAAGGTATGCCAGGGGAATAGGGCTGTCAACCCATAGCTGAGGGGTGGAGTTGCTACTCAAATGGACTAGAAGAATGGAGCCACTTAAAGCTGAGGGCTTGGTGGTACCATAGGATAAATAGTGGCCTAACTGCAAGATAAGTAGTTCAAACCCATCAGCCACTCTGCGAAAGAAAGATGAAGCTTTTGCTTCCATAAAGATTGTCTCAGAAACCCTGTAACAAAGTCACTGAGTTGGAACAGAATTGAAAACAGTAGGTTTTCAATCCAAAGGAGTCAAGTTGTGTGTCCTGGTGGAGCTGAAGCCAAGGTCCACAGGCCTCCAGAAGCCAGAAAGCATGGTCAACACCCAGAGTCTGAATCTGAGACTGTTGCCTAGGTGGTCTCTGAGAGGATTATTTTCAAGCTGCAAAAGCTAAATTGCTCTGAGTTTTGAACTTGCCTTATCCCTTCTTCGCTCCAATTTCTACCATTTGTAACTGAAATGCCTATCTTGTGCCTGTTCTGCTATTGTACTCTAGAAGCAGGTAACTTGTATTCTAGATTTAACAGGTTCATAGATGAAGAGGAATTTTGCCCTGGGATGAATGAATGTATCTCCTAACGTCTTACTCATGTTTGACTTAAATAATTCAGGTGAGATTTTGAACTTGGAGTTGACTTAAGACTTGGGACGATATAAGGTAAATGTGTTTTGCATGTAGGAAGGACAAGAATCTGGCAAGGGGAGTAAGCAAATGGTGGAAATTTATGGACTGAATTGCCCCCAAAAGCATGTCGTAATATCTAGCCTCTATGTCTGTGGGTTTGGAGTTGCTTTAGGATTTGAGTTGCTAGTCGGTGCTATAGGATAAGCATTGGACTGCTAGCCGCAAGATCGGCAGTTCAATCCCACCAGCTGGTCTTCAGAAACTCTACATGGGGTAGCTGTAAATTGGAACTGACATGTTGGCATCTATCAATAGCCTGTGTTATAATCCCATTTGGTAGGGACCATCTTTATTAAGTTTATTAGACAGGCCTTCCTTTTAGAGCTGGCACCCAGAATTTGGACGTCTAGCCTCCTAACACTGAGAAGTTAAGTTCTGTTAGTTAGAGCCAGCTACTTAGGGCGCTACATAACTACAACAAAGGGTTATGGGCCGCTTAGAAGTGGTGACCTCTGGTGATTATGAGGAGGACAAGAGTTTGGTTCAAAGGGGGACTTTAGCTAGCCTTATCTGTAATGTAGTTTTTAAACAATGTATAATTTATGAATTATTTGGGTAACTAAAGAGCTTTTTAAAAAGCAGGAGGAAATTATAAAATACATCCAAGTATTAGATTTAGATACATACTATATTTTGAACTTCTCATTTTCTAAAGCATTTGTTACCTATGGGATAGAGTAGGAAAGGGCAATTTTATTTTTCATCTGATCATAAAATTCTTACCTTGGGAAGATCACTGTGGAATTGTTTTGAGAATCAAATCACAATGAAATAAAATTCCTTACTCTTGGACCATACTACACAAAACTTAATGAAGTTAACCAAAAAGAAACTGTCACTCTAAAACTTCTCTTACATAACGGGAAAAAAACCATTGATCATGTATGCTAATAACAAAAACCCAAAAGAGCATTGAAGATGTGTGACATATTAAATGCTATTAATGTCTGATGGTTTCACATTCCCGTGAAGTAACATTTACTTTAGTAGTAACTTCTCCATCATGCCTGGTTAGCCATTGCTCAGCATTCCCAAATAACTCATGATATTAAAAAAAAACAAACAAAAAAAAAACAATTTAACTATCAAGGCACTGTAATTACCTTTCCCCAAATGTATAAAGCAGACCACTCAAAGCATGCTATCCCAAACTCCTCAGTATTCTACAACATAGAATTAGAAAACTAACATTTATTGGTAGATTTAAGGTGTAATACAGATTTCCAAAAATGCGGCAGTGAGAATACCAGGATAAAAAAGAGAAATTTGTGCTAAAAACAACCTGAATTCATCATTGGCAATATTACATAAGAATCAAGGCCCTCACACACTAATGATTTCCACTTTGTTTGTATTGCCAACCTCCCATGCATCAAAAACATAAAATACTATTATTAAACTTGGGAAGCAATAAAGTACTTTATGAATTTTAAGATTATAATATTAGGAAATTTGGGGAGATTTGTAAAATATATCCTAATCACCCATGTGTACAATCTTCATTTCTAGTAATTTTTGCAGTGATCATTAGGGAATAAAATACAGATTTACAAGTTTATATATAGCAGGGCATCTGGATTCAACACAAAATTACAAACTTTAGGCAAATACATATTTCAAAAGACACTTCTAACACTTAAAGTGATTAAATAAAATTCCAAAACTTGGAAAGCAAATAAAGACAAGACAACTAAGAAGCATTTTCCACCATTTACTCTTGTTATCAAAAATAGTTCAACTCTTCTTGCAAAACAAAAACAAAATAGTACATACTGGACACATACATCACATTTTTCTTCCTATGGCTTTAGCCCACCCCCACCCCACCAAAAGAGACAAAGGAGAAAAAAAACAAAACAAACAAACAAACAAAACAAAACAACTCTACCTGACCACATTCACAGAAAATGACACCAGGATACACTACAAAACAGAAGGAGGTGTCATCTGCTCTGTGTCCAAAGGTTTCTTCTCCATTTCTTGTACTAGTTGAGCAACCGTCATTGAACATGCTGTGTGCCAAATCAAAACATAACTTCAACATATGTCAGATCTCACTAGAGATGGTGAACGCAGTAGAAATTGGAAATGTTCCAGCAGTATTTTTAAGCACTGTCAAGGCTGCAACTCTAAATTCATCAGGTCATTTCTTTACAATCTAGTCAGTCCTTGTTTGATTTGGGCTGTGCTCTTTGAAGCAACTGACTAGATTTCCCTTCAACAGAATGTTTTGTGACTCATTTGCTTTCCCCATAAAAATTAAGGGAAGAAGTGCATTTAAACTGAAACACAATTTGTGCTTTACATGCAAAAGAGCATTCTAAAGAAAATCCCCTTAGCTTCAAACCTACCTAACTGCTCAGGCGTCATAAAAAGGCATTTTTATTAGGTTTCTGTTTTTAAAAATAAGCCTTCATAATGAATAGCACCCAAAAAAAAAAAAAAGAAAAAGAAAAAGAGCTTATTTCAAAATAAAATCAGTGGCAAATAAACTATTAGAAAAAACAAAAATCAAAGAAGTGGCCAATAGTAAGAAAGTATGCGTAAATCTGATTAAGTTTGGGGGCATTATTCCAAAATTATTTAAGTAAAATATTTTTATAATTGTTTTAGATTCTGTCACATACTATAGAGTCCAAATTCAATTACCTTTGGAATAAAACTGTTCTCCACTTCATTTATCCAATTAGAACATTGTTCAAAGAAAGGATTTCAAATATTTCCCTAGAAATAAATGAGACTTAGAAAAAAGAAGAAAAAAAGCTGAATTCATAAGAGTTTTATAGCATAAACATTAGCAGAACATCTGCAGTCCAACAGAATTTGTTCACTTTTTTTAAAAGACAGATTTCTTAAACATTCTAATGAGGGGCAATTTTTCTTTCATAATACTGCTGATTTAGGAACTGCTACATACACCACGTAGCCAATTTTCATGATCAGAAATGGTATGTCAGCACAAAGGTTGAGCTGGACACATCAGCTTTTCAACAGGAGAAATATCAATGACATCTGAAGGCAGCACTGAGTCTCCTGAACAAACTAATGGCTACTTTTCCACAAAAAAAAAAAAAAAAAAAAAATTAGCACAATCTTTATGGACTGACTAGATACCACTTCCTTACATTTAATCATAAACTTTGATTATGCACAAAGCATGACCATAAACAATGAGGTTAATGTTATTTTCCTTGCCAAAGTTCATTTTGTATAAATCAGTTGCATCAGCATTTGTTCTCAAACTATGAGGTTCTGTAAGAACTAAGGACATATAGTTGTAGGGTTATTCCTCCATTATCTGCAAACTATTTCCCCGACACTAACACATATAACTTAGCAATGAAAAACACTTGATACAAGTGATCTATATGCAGGAGCTCCGGCAAGTTAAACCAACAGAACCATAGCTGCCGTAAAACTATAGCTATTTCCCTACCAGAGGTAGGTCTAAAGACCCACTGATTTAACAGTCGAATCTCATGTCTATAGCTTCATCCAAACTTTTATCATCATGTGTACTGGCAGCTAAAAATGTCGTTACTGGGGACCCTGTGACATTAATTACACTGGTGCTTGTACTAGCATTGCGCACAGCAATACTAGTCACGTTAATGCCCAAAGTGAGCCTGGTCTGCTCCAAGGCCTTTTCTGGCACAGCAAATGCCTCCAGCTTCTTCTCCCCATTGGCCATATAGGAGTTTTGGCAGCCACGACATATACAATCTAAGCAGGCTTTGCGGTTAGAGTAACAAGGGCAGCGTTGGCCTCGGCATGTAAGAACACTTGGATTTTGAGTAGCACGCCCACATTTACACCCTTTCTTTTCCTGGGGTTTTTTATACACAGTCTTGGTAGGACTTCCTGGCATAAAATGATGACTAGGAATTTTTTCCTTTACAGTTTTGTCTTTTTTTAGAATACCTGGCTTGGTTTTAGAGTGAGATTTCTTGGATCCATGTTCATGACTCTTTTTCATGCTTTTAGTAGATAAAAGTACAGTTTTACTGATTTTGGGTGTTGTGCCTCCATTGGGAACAGTTGCTATAGGCTGAAGAGAGATTTTGCTTTCACGTTTCACTGTCACAGGAGCAGATGCCCCCAATGTTGGGCCTCGGATAATGGTAGAAATTGGAAGTGGCTGAACTTTCTCACTGTCACTTTCTGATCTGGATCTTTTTCTATTCAATTTAGCTACCTTCGGAGTTGCTGCTGTACATGATAACCCATGAAGTGCGGGACTGGTAGACATGAAAACATTATGGCTAAGTGACTGGGAAGAAAGCTGCAGAAAAGGTCCATTGGAAACACTGGCTTCCAAATTGGGCTGCAAATTAGGGCAACAAACTTCTGTATTTGAAACAGTTTCTAAGCTGCGGAGTACTTCTTCAACACTCAGTAACAGAGAGTCCCCAGGTTTTATATCTTCACTGAAACTGCAGATATCAATGCCTGTGGAGCATAAGTCACTGGTTACCGTGTCACAGACAGGTGGGAGGCTGTCAGATAGATCCTCAGTTTTTATGTCAACAGTATTACATACATCAATCGTATTTGAATGTTCAGGTGAAGGAATATTTATACCAAATCTATCTATTGAAAGCCCATTATAAGTAGGCAAACCATTTATAACAGAACTTCCGATAGCAATGCTGAGGGTGCTTTCAGATAATGGAGATAAACTAGCTTGAGGATCAGTCGTAGGTTCTGAGGTCGAAGGTAAAGGGGAATGTGTTAAACACAAAGTAAAGGATGAATCTGAGGGTTTTTCCGTCTCCTCACAAAACAATGATCCATCATTAAGCAGAGCCAAAATATCAGAAGAGCAGTCAACTGCTTCTATTATATCACGTGCCAATGTAGTCTGTGTTATATATTCGCATAGTTTTTTGTAGCAGTTCACTAGGATGCTTAATTGCTTGTTTTCCTCAAACTGCTCATAGTCTTTGCACCAGCTACATGAAGGTTTCATCATCATTTTCTTGCCTTTACAACTTTTGCAGACATAGTGTTGGCAGGTGGAGTTGGTGGGTGCAATAGGATCTTGTAGCAAATGTCCTAAGGGGGGAGGGGAGGGAAAGGAGGAAAGCACAAATTTTAGTAAAATAAATATATTCTTTCATATATTGGAATTAAGATGAACTTACAAGTAATCTGTCAAAATTGCGATTGTTTAAACTCACCAAAACAAAAAAGAAACAAAAATATTCAACAGCTCATCACTTCATTTCCATGACCAAGTACCCCACTCCTTTATCTCAAATAGGAGGAATATGCAGTGTTCTCATCTGGACCTGGCTTCATTCTCTACTTCCCCAAGCTCCATCAGTGTTGTCCTGTGAGGACTGACAGCTCCTGCGGTAGAAGAGGTCCCACTCCTTGTGAGTGAAAGGTGAAAGTGACTTTTCAGAGGCTGGCCAGCTGGGGAGGTAATGCTCAGCTCTCACTAGCTTAAGGGAGGCAGAAAAGCCCAAAACTTTATATGCTTTTGGCCTATCATGAGGCTCTGTGCATGGGAACAGGAGACCAGCTGAAAGTAAACCCAGTACAGATCTGAAAACTGCCTGAGCTTTGTGCTCTGCTAACTACAAACACTTCGATTTAGTAAAGGAACAGCATATGCCTTAGATTTAACAACACAACTTTGTTTAAAATTGCTAAATGCCCTCGTGGCAGTTCCAACTCATAGTGATACTGTATAGGGTTTCTGGGGAATGGCTTGGTGGGTCTGAACTGCCGATCTTGTGGTTCACTGGACCAGGAATCCTGGTTTAAAGTAAAGGGGTAGAAAAAAGATACACCATGTAAACAGTAACCACTTAGTGCTGTTGTGACTATATCAATAATTCCAAGCAAATTAAACTTCAGGTAGGAATTATAATCAAAGGCAAAGAAATATTTCATAACAAATACATTAATACATCAGGAAAATAATACAATTATAAATATATATGCATGTAACACTAGAGCCACAAAACTCACAGAAGCACAGAAATGGAAAGAGAAATACACAACAATTCAACAAGCATGAGGGGGTTTTCAAAAATTTTGTAGGAAAATTTTTCAAGTTTCCTTTAACATTTGGAGATTTCATTATCCCACTTTCCATAACTGATAAACTAGACAGAAAATTACCAAAAATATTGAAGACTTGAGGAATACTATTAATCAATTCAATTCAATAACAGTAATTCTACCTATGTATTGGAGTCGTGGTGTGGCACTGCAGGAAATGCACTGGACCACAAGATCGGTTTTAACCACAAAGTTGGTAGTTCAAATTCAACAGTCGCTCCTCGAAAACCCTATATAGGGTCGCTATGAGTTGGAACTACTCGAAGGCCCTTAACAACAACAAAACCCAGGTACTGCAGAATACATACTATTTTATGCACACAGGAATATCCTCCAAGATAGAGCATATGACATAGGATGTAAAACAAATCCGAATAAACTTAAGAGTATATTGGACTACAATAGAATTATACTAGAATCAAAGAAATCTTCAAATAGCTGGAAATAAAACAACATACATCTAAGTGACCCATTATTCAAAGATAAAATCACAAGGAAATTTGAAAACATTTTGAAATGAATGAAAACACCTTGTATAAAAATTTAGAAGATAATGCGTAAAGCGGTTGGTGGAAGTTTACAGCTTTAGCAGTCAATTATCAGAATAAGTCCTTAATCGATAACCTACTGAAGTAATAAAAAAGAGCTAACTAAACCAACTAAGAAAGTGGAAATGTTTAAGATTAGAGCTGAAATAAAATTAAAAAACAGAAAAACTAAAGAGAGAAATCCATGTTAAAAATTAACAGAAATAGAAAAGAATTTCTCTAATCTGATAGTGAGCAGCTACATCCAAAATCATACTTAACGGTAACATAGTCCTGGTGTGGCGCTATGGGTTAATGCGCTGGACTGCAAAGTCCGTTTGAATTGCAGAGCCAGTGGTTCAAGCTCACCAGCCGCTCCTCGGAAACCCTATACAGAATCGCTATGGATCTGGACCAACTCAACAGCAAACAAAAACTGAATGCTCCCGTATTTTCCCACCAAAGATCAAGAACAAGGAAAGTAAATCTGTTTTCACCACTTCTATTTAAAATCTTGGAGTCCTGGTGTCATGCTATAGTAAAAGCACTGAACTGCTAAACAAAAGGTCAATGATTTAAACCTACCAACCATTCTTCAAAAACCCTATATATAGGAACTGACTTGACAGCATTTAACAATAATTCAACACCAAATTAGAGGTTTTAGTTAGTGTAAATAAGGTTTATAATAATAAATATTTATGTTAATTTATATATAAATAACAATTATCTATTCAATAAATATTTGTAGAAATATAAACATTTATCTATCATCTATTTAAGGCATCCAGATTGAAAAGGAAGAAGTAAAGCTGCTTTATTAACAGAATGGCACTGTGGGTTAATGCGCTGAACTGCACACAAAGTCGGCTTGAAATGCAAGACTGGCAGTTCAAGCTCACCAGCTGCCCCTTGGAAACCCTAAACCGAGTCATTATGGGTCAGAACCAACTCGATGGCACATAACAACAACAACGGTCCTGGTATAGTGCTGTGAGATAAAACACGGAACTGCAAGGTGGATTTGAATCACCAGCTGCACCTCAGAATCCCTATGTTGTTGTGTTCCCACAACATCCAAATCACACAGCATCCCATTTCACAGAAAGTACCTTGGAAGAAACTCTGGTAGCGTAGTGGTTACGAATCAAGCTGCGAACCACAAAGTCAGCAGTTCGAAACTACTAGCTTCTCTGCAGAGAAAGATGAGGCGTTCTGCTCCCGTAAAGATTAACAGCCTCGGAAACCCTGTGCAGGGTTGCTATGAGTCAGAAACAACTCCACGGCACATAACAACAACAACCTTGGAAGATTTAAGTAACACTCGACTATATAAACCAACAAGATCAGACATATACAGTGTACTCAAAGAGCAAGATACACATTCTTCTCGAGTGTATATGGATCACTCTTCTGGTCAGACCATATGCATACCAAGTAACAAAACAAGTCTCTCGATAAGTTTTAAAAGACTAAAATCATACAAAGTATCTCCAAACACAATGGAGTGAAACTAGAAATTAATAACAAAAGGATAATTGGAAAAATATGTAGAAATTAAACAATGGGGGGAAAAATCAAGAGAGGAAAATACTATATACAGCTTAAATATAATCAATGTCACTGAGTTGTACATGTGGAAATTGTTTAACTGTTATATGTTCTGCTATGCAGATTTTCAACCACCAACAACAAAAAGGAGTCCTGGCGTGGCACTGTGAGTTATTAATATGCCAGACTGCAAAGCCATGTGAACTGCAAGGTTGGTGGTTTAAGCTCACCAGTTGCTCCTTGGAAACCCTATACAGGGTGTCACTATGAGTCAGAACTGACTCGAGAGCAATTAACAACCACCACCACTACCCAAAAATTGAATGAGTAGTAACACTCTACCACACACAAAAAAGCAAAAAAACAGAAAATACTGAGAATTGAAAAGAAAGGAAAGCAAAATATACTAAACTTAAAAGGTGTGTTCAAGGGATGCCTACATTAAAAAACAAAAACTTAATAAGCTAACTTTATAAAACTTGAGAAACTATAAAAAGAAGAGTAAACTAAGCCCAGAGTTATCAGAAGAAAGGAAATAACGATCAAAGCAAAAATAAATGAAACAGACAAAAGAAAAGCAATGGCAAGATCAGCAAAACCCAAAATCGTTGGGTTTTTTTTTTTTTTTTAAGTTCAATAGAACCCACAAGTCTTTACCTAGGCTGACAAAAAAGAGAAGAGATGCAAAAATATACAGACAGAAATGAAAGTGGGAACATTATAACTGATCTCATAGAGGTAAAAAAGAATACTACTAACAATATAGTATACCAACAAATTACATGACTTAGACAAAATAAATTCCTAGCAACATATAAACAGTGACACTGGAGGAAAAGAGCAACACACCCATAACAAGTAAAGAGATCTGTATTATACAGTCTAATCTCTATGCTGTACATGTAAAAATTAATGAGAGGGCATGTGTGTTTTAATAGGTGGGGCAGTGGAAGGGATGTGCTCTCACCACTGATATTCAAGATCGTACATTCTCGCCAGAGTAAATAAGATTAAAAGAAATAAAAGTCATCTAAATCAGGAAAAGACTCTGGTGTGAAGGGCCATAATATGACCTTGAATATATCCCACCTGAATTTAGAGATCATCTGAAGAACAGAGTTGATGCATTAGACACTAAACACCAACAACAGAAAATTTGTGGGATGGCACCAAGAACATCATACAGGAAGAAAGCAAAAGGTCATTAAGAAGACAAGAAAGGAGGAAAAGACCAAAATGATTTTCAGAAGAGACTCGGAAATTTGCTCCCCACAGTAGAAATTCAAAAGCAAATGAAAAAAGTGAGGAGGTACAAGAGCTCAACGAAGTCAAATATTTTAACGTGCAACTATAATGTGCAAAGACCTGGAGTTACAAAACAAAAGGGAAGAACATGCTCAACATTTCTCAAGCTGAGGGAACTGAAGAATAATCTCAAACCTCGAGACTTGAGGTATTGAAGGATTCTATGGGCAAGAAACTGAATGATGCAGAAAGCATCAAAAGAAAATTGAAGGTCCCGGGACCATCAAAGGAGAAGAGTGGAGAGTGGGATCCTACCAGAGAAACAGTGATGCCTGAGATGGAGGCAGAGACGATGACGTGTAGAGATGGAGCACCTAGGGACTTTAGACCCAGAGAGCAAGAGGGGCTGTGTGCTGACAACCAGGGGGCAAGCTTGCAGAATATACCCTTTGGTTGGTTGATGATGCATGGAGCAGATAGTAACCATAGCAATGAAATGATATATGATAGGATGAATGTAAAAATGATGTTCTCCCATATAAACTGTCACATAATTCACAATAAAACATTTATAAAAAAAAAGGTCTCTGTACCAAAAAGAAATGGTTGATGTTCAACTATTTCAAGAGGCAGCACATGATTAAGAGCCAATGATCCTGA